CATACTTATATTATGGCTGGAGTGATGAGAGCTGAAGTGATGCATGTGAGAATGATGTTGGTGGCCGTTGCCCCGCCGATACCGCTCTGCCCTGGGCGACCGTCACGGATAGCGGCCGCGGTGAGAGACCACTCCCTGCACACCCCCTGATGGTGTCAAAAATATGCCACGCCTGCTGTGCCCTGGACGACCGTCACGGATAGCGGCCGCGGTGAGAGACCACCCCCTGCGCACCCCCTGTGGAGTCGAGAATATGCCATGCCTGCTGTGCCCTGGACGACCGTCACGGATAGCGGCCGCGGTGAAAGACCACCCCCTGCGCACCCCCTTATGGTGTCGAGAATATGCCACGCCTGCTGCGCCCTGGACGACCGTCACGGATAGCGGCCGCGGTGAGAGACCACCCCCTGCGCACCCCCTTATGGTGTCGAGAATGTGCCACGCGTGCTGTGCCCGGGACGACCGTCACGGATACCGGCCGCGGTGGGAGGCCACCCCCTGCGCACCCCCTTATGGTGTCGAGAGTATGCCATGCCTGCTGTGCCCTGGACGACCGTCACGGATAGCAGCCGCGATGAGAGACCACTCCCTGCGCGCCCCCTATTAAGGTGTCGAGAAAATGCCAGGCCTGCTGTGCCCTGGACGACCGTCACGGATAGCAGCCGCGATGAGAGACCACCCCCTGCGCACCCCCTCTGGTGTCGAGAATATGCCATGCCTGCTGTGCCCTGGACGACCGTCACGGATAGCGGCCGCGATGAGAGACCACCCCCTGCGCACCCCCTATGGTGTCGAGAATATGCCAGGCCTGCTGCGCCCTGGACGACCGTCACGGATAGCGGCCGCGGTGAGAGACCGCCCCCTGCGCACTCCCTATGGTGTCGAGAAAATGCCAGGCCTGCTGTGCCCTGGACGACCGTCACAGATAGCGGCCGCGGTGAAAGACCGCCCCCTGCGCACCCCCTACTGTGTCGAGAATATGCCATGCCTGCTGTGCCCTGGACAACCGTCACGGATAGCGGCCGCGGTGAGAGACCACCCCCTGCGCACCCCCTACTATGGTGTCGAGAGTATGCAATGCCTGCTGCGCCCTGGACGACCGTCACGGATAGCGGCCGCGGTGAGAGACCCCCCCCTGCGCACTCCCTATGGTGTCGAGAATCTGCCATGCCTGCTGTGCCCTGGACGACCGTCACGGATAGCGGCCGCGGTGAGGGACCAGCCCTTGCGCACCCCCGATGGTGCAGCCGTGGCGCCCTCTGTGGTGTCGAGGATGTGCCACGCCTGCCACGCTCTCCGACCCTGGCGCGCATAGAGACCGCGCTGAGGGACCACCCCCTGCGCACCCTCTCTGGTGTCGAAACACGCGGGGAAAACCAAAACCCCACCAAGCATGTGGGGAAGAAAACCATAGCCCCACTAAGCATGTGGGGAAAGAGGAGAAGGGGCGGGGGGAGGTGTGAGACGCGGGTGCGGCGCGGCAGGGAAGAAAACCAAACCCCCACGAAACATGTGGGGAAAAGCACAAGGAAACTAAAGCTCCATGCCCCCCATGCCCCGCCGAGGTCCCTGGGCGCCCCCCCCCGTCCACGTTTTTCGGTGTGTGTATATATATATATATATATATATATATATACAAGACTGCATTGGCGCTTCGCGCCATGCACCTTGGTTATTGAAGCTCGGCATGCAGGAGAGCCAAATATAGCGATGATTCATTGTTGCCGTTTGCGCCATCGTCGTTATAGTAATGTTATGTACTATCCTTCTACTTCCTCTCCTCTTACTCGTAATCTTCCCTGTCTGCGAGCCACTCCTTGTCCTCATCCCCAGTTTTTATTGCAGGGGCTCCTCTTTGGAGGTGTTCCTGGGCCCCTCTCAAAAGCTTTTTGGGGACCTCTGGGGGCCTCCTGGGCGCCTTTTGGGGGCCTCTGGGGGTTTCTTGCGGCCACCTTGCTACCAACCACGGTCTCCCTGAACGACCGGGTCACGATTTGGAGTGCTTCGGGAAGCGTCTTGGGGCCATCTGGGGCTGTCAGCGGGGCTCTCTTGGGGCCATCTTGCGGCCCTGTTGGACCATATTGGGGCTCTTTGGACTGTCTGGAAGCCCTTTGACACCGTTGTGGGAGGATTTTGGGGGCCTCTTCGGCGGACTCGGACGCACGGAATACCGAGGAACCGAATGTCCAAAAATTCCTTCTTCTTTAAAACAAAAAAAGGAGAGGAAAGGAAAGGAATGTGTTGTTTTTTTTGCACTTGGAGGACCTCTTGGGGGTCTTCTTTGGGTCGTCTTCGGGCGTCTTGGGGCTGTTTGGGGCCGCGTGGGGCTCTCGCGGGGCCGTTTGGCCGCCCTCCTGACCGCTTTGGGCCCGCTGGCAAGGCCCGGCAGGGGCGTCCAGGAGGCCCGGAAGGCCCGGGGGACCCCTTGCAAGGCGTCCAGGGGGCCCCCAAAGCGCCAGATCCCGGGGGTCCGATTTTCGGGGGGAGGGGGGGGTCCCACCCCCCCGGATTGTAAAAATATAGAAAAGGGAATATATATATATTATATATATATATATATATATTATATATATATATATATATATATTATGTATACATGCATATACATATATGTATATATGTCGGCGGTGCCCGGTGCGGAGCGAACCCCTTCCCCGGTAATCTCTCCTGGTGGGGTTCGAGCTGGCGCCATTCCCGGTGCGAGCCTGCACGAACCCCCCCGGTAAACACGACCTCCTCTGGTAGGCTGCACGAAACCCCCCGGTAAGGACGCAACCCCTCCGTAAGCGGCGCGCTCCCAGCACGCGCGAACCCAGCCCCGACGCGCGAATCTTACCAGGACGGGCCGGAACACGGCGGCGGCATTGCATCCCAGGGCCGTGCCGGAACACGGCGGCACTGTTCTTCTCTACGCGGCCGTGCCGTCGACCCCCCACAGCGGCTCTCGGGAGTTGCGCCGCAGCCTCTCGCATTGTGGCCACGAACCACAATACGAGAGGCTGCGGCGGAACAAAGGCGAGCAGACGCGAATAGAGAACACAAGGCGAGCACACGCCACACTTCGACAGGGAGCCACCCTTCCCAACCGCCCCCCTGCCCCCCCCCAACCCACCCCCCACTCCCACCCCCCCACTCCCACAGGGGGGGGGGGGGAGCCCAGGTAGACGCAGTGCGGCCTGCACGAACCCCCCCGGTAAAGCGGCAAGGAGGGGGTGTTCTAAGCCGCTGGCGGCACCCGGTGCGGGCTGCACGAAACCCCCCGGTAGCGCCAGCCACAGCGAAATTGACCAGCGCTGTAGTTGAGTCGAAGGGAAGCCCCTTCCCTTTGATCGCTTCCCCGCAGGGGAAGGGGGGGAATCCCGGGGGGGGGTCCCCGGGGAGGTCCTGGGGGGGGGTCCCGGGGGAGGTCCCGGGGGGGGTCCCGGGTCAGATACGACTCCCCTCTGGGCGGTTCGGGAGCCCAGACAACCCCCAAGACGTAGCAAAAGTGCCTCGAGAGGCTTCCAAGAATGTCCTCGAGGGCCCCGAATCGCCGAAGTATCGGTCCAAGTCGCGATAGCCTCCAGACAGCTTCGGAGGGCCCTCCCAAGAGGGCGCTCCCAAGAGGGCCCCAAGAAGCAAAAATCAGAGATGTCCCTCAGGTTTTGAAAGATTTGGACATTCTCGCCTTGTCAACTTCCCGACTCTCCAAGACAGGCCAAGAGGCCCCCAATACCGCCCCAATATCGCCCAAGACGCCTCCAAGATAGCCCAAGAGGTCCCCAAGACGGCTCCAAGAGAGAGCCCAGACTGGAGACTCGACCGGACATTTCGAACCCTCGGCCTCAGAAGCTCCCAGGAGGCTCCATAGGCCCCTAAGAAGCTCCCCACGAAGCCCCAAGAGGCTCCCAGGAGACCCCCAGGAAGCTCCAAGAGGCCCCCACGAGGCTCCCAAGCGGCCCCCAACAGCCTCCCAAGAGGCCCCAGAACTACCCCCAAGAGGCCCCCCACGAGAACTCCCTGTATCCCTTCACCGCCGCGTGTGGGGGGGGGGGCGTCCCTCCTGTGCCTGCCTCTCTTCCTCCTCCTCATGCTCCTCCTCCTCATCATTCTCCCCCGCCTGCTCCCTCAACTGCCTCCTCCACCCTTCCTCCCTCTCCACCTCCTCCTCCTCCTCCTCCACCCCCCCCGCGTTTCCATATTCGTGGCCTCCAGGGTCGGCGGCACAGGCCGTAAGGCCTTCGCAATAGCACAATGGCATACAAATTTGTACATGCGCGCTGCTGCTGGCGCTTCGGCACGTCGTCCGTCGCTTATTAGTCCAATTGTTTTCTTCTCATATGTGTTATAAGTATTATGTTTCTTATCTTCTTAGTGCCATTAATATGTTGCCAGTATTCTTGATATATACTCTGATATGCTTCACTCTTGAGGACATCTCTGCCGACGTACTTGGCCAAGGCATCGGCCAGATTCTCGTTCCCAACTCACTTTCACAACCTTGCTTCCCCACTTCGCCTAAGCCTCTCTGGCTGGCAGTCGCAACCTCTGCACACCCATCGCTTTTCAACGTCACATCAAGTTCTATGTCCAGAATCTTGCTATGGCGCTGCCAAGCCTACCTCCACCGATCCCTCCTCTACTCTCTCCTTCGCCTGGTGATAACGACAATGCATTCTGAAGTGACATCGAAGACTTGATCACGTGCTCTCCCCGCGTACCGCGGGTTCGTGTCGTGTCGACCCCGGCGTTGGCTCCTGACACCGCGGGGATCGTTCAATTGTGAACGATTGGCCATTTCCGAAACGTCAAATCGTTCAACATCGACCGATTCTGGGTCGCCAATCACATTCAACGTTGACCGCCAGCGGCGGGGTCGACGCCGGTCGACACGACGCGAACCTACTGTAACTACACCTCAGCTTGAGCACTTCCTGCTCTCCTCGCCCCCAACGCCAGAGTCGGTCCAATCTGTTAGTTCCTTACATATCTGCCACTGCCACTGCGCGCGGCGTAGGTGCCTGAGACGCGATGGCCTCTCCGAGAATCTCGCCGTAGCCCGTCAACACGGCGGCCCCTCCCCTCGGGCGCTCAATAGCGACCTAGGTCGTCGAACCTCGCCTCTCATCCCTCCTCCCCCTCCTCCCCCTCCTCCCCTCCTCCTCCTCCTCCTCCTCCTCCTCCTCCTCCTCCTCCTGCCGCCCACCCTCAATCCTTCCTCGGAGGGCACTACCGAATCGCTGCTCGCGCTGCCAGGACCCAGAGGGCGCCTTGGTCACCCAATTTTGTGCTACGCGCCGCGTGAAGCACCAGGCGTGTTCATCTTCGCGCTCTCTCGCGGGCACCCTGAACAAAAACAACTCTCTGGATACTGACTCGGACACCTGACCTTTTAAGGCTGTTCAAGGCTGTTTCGATCATGTGGCTCGAACACTCCTAACCTGTTCCACCCAGGCCCGCAGGATCAGATTCCCACCATCCCTCTACGGCTGTGGTCCAGCGCGGTTCCCCTTCCAACCCCTCTCCCCTTCGGATAGGGTTTACCCCTCCCCTGCCCCCTCCCCTGGGTTTGGAGGGGCCCGCCCGCGAGGTGTCAGAGGGCCCATTTTGGCCCAGTGTGGCTCTACGATGATAGGCAGCACAAGATGGCCTCCAAGAGCGCACAATATATACCATGATAGCTGAAGCTGTGGGTCTTCAAGCTGCGTCGCCAAGGAACCCCCAGAGGGCTCCACGACGGGCCGTGAACGCCAAAAGATGGACCCGAACGAATATGTTTCGGACTACTCCACGCCGCCCCCTTGATCGCTCAATGGCATCCAAGGTTGCCCCACTATGACCCCAGGGCCGCGCCAAGATGGGATCTGAAAATCCTCACCGTTGGGTTTGAGGGCAGAAATCCCGCGTTTCTGCGATCGACCTTTTCGCGCTCCGCTCCATGTATCCTCTCTCTCTCTATCGCGTCATTCGTCTTCTCCTCCTGTTCCTCATCTTCCTCCTCCTCCTCGTCCTTCGTCTCCTCCCCTTTCTCGTCCACGCTCACCCGCATCGCCATCAAAAGTCTGTTTCATCATTGTCATCCTCCTCTTCCGTCGTCTCTTCCTCCTGCTTCTACTCCTCCTCTGCCTCTTCCTCCTCTTCACTCGTCTCGTTCTTCGTCTCTTCCATCGCTAAACGAGTGCCAGAGGAGTCCAAAGAGCAGAAGGAGGAAGGGGTTGAGGAGTCACTGCACCATCCTCCTCCATCCTCCCCTCGGCTCCTAACCCTCCTCATCCTCCAGAAGCCGCATCCTCCTCTCTGCACTCCTTCTGTGAAGGATCTCCCATTGCATTCCTTATGTAAGGGCGTTGCACGTATCTTCCCCTTTTATGCAGAAAGTACCCATAGATGCCCTAGGTGGGCGATGTAATACTAAACAAGACAACACTGAACAACAAGCGAATACGCCGAATACCCAAGATTGCAACGCCAACCTGAACACCAACGATCTCAATTCTTGCCTGCTCCACCATTCCCCTGCTCCACTGTCCCCGTTCTCCTCTTGCCACTCCCCTCCCCCCCCCCACCGTTCACTCCTCCTCCTCCTCCTCCTCCTCCTCCTCCTCCTCCTCCTCGCCGTCCTTCCTCCCTCCTCCTCCTCCTCCTCCTCCTCCTCCTCCTCCTCCTCCTGAAGAACTGGGGACTCCGTCCGCCGTCCGCCGTTCTCCGTCCTCCCCGGGTCTCCTGCGGAGAACGGCGGACGGCGGACGGACTCCTCCCTCCTCCTCTCCTCCTCCTCCTCCTCCTCTCCTCCTCCACTTCCACCTCCTCCTCACTCCTGACTCCTCATTCCTCCTCCTGCTCCTCATCTCCCCCGTCTCGCCCATTCCCTTTCCCTCCTCCTCCTCCTCCTCCTCCTCGCCGTCCTTCCTCCCTCCTCCAGCCCCCTCCGTCTCTCTTCGTTCCACTCCCCTTTCCTCCGGCCCTCCTCCTCCCCTCGTCCTCTTCCTTGCGTCTCACTCCTCCTCCTCCTCCTGCTCCTCCCCTGGGGCGGGGGGGCTGGAGGAGGAAGGAATGACGGCGAGGAGGAGGAAGATGAGGAGGAGGAGGAGGCAAAGGGAGAGGGCGAACCAGTGGGAGGATGAGGAGCAGAAGGAGGAATGATGACTGAGGAATGAGGAGGTGGAGGTGGAGGAGGAATGAGGAATCCGTCCGCCGTCCGCCGTTCTACGTAGGAGGCCCAAGGAGGACGGAGGACGGAGGACCGAGTTCTCATTCATCGTCGCTCCTCCGTCCACCCCATCCTGCTCCTCATCCTCCCCTCTCCCCGCCCTCCCCCTTTCCCGCATCCTCCTCCTCCTCCTCCTCCTCCTCCTCTTCGCCCTCCTCCTCGTCCTCCTCCGCTTCTTTTATCCTCTCGTCTCCTGCCCAGCCCTCTGAAAAGGAGGAGCGGGACGTGATGATGAGGAGGAGGAGGAGGGGGAGGATGCGGTGGAGGAGGAAGAGGAGGAGGAGGACCAGTGTAAACCCAAGAGTCATCAACGATGTTGGAATCAACCTTTCCTCCGAGCTCCCTCTTCGTAGGCCCCTACAACGGTTCATTCCCATTGAAAGATCTGCCTCTTTGGAAAACAACCGTTTGAAGACCCTGAAGCATGCCAGAGCATTGTTCTCGGGATTGCAATGCCACGGATCAACTTTTTTGTTGCGTCTTGGCAACCCTGAACCGCGCCAGAACGCCATTCCTGGGACTGTAACACAGCGAACCAACATAACTGTTGCACCCGCATGATAGGAAACCGCGAAACCCTGGAAGTTTTTACAACGAATGCGCGCCGCGCTCAGGTGGGAACCAAATTCCGAAACACAAAAACAAAAAAAAACGCCCTCAATCGTAGAAGCTCTTGCAACTTTGCATATCGAATGCGCGCCGCGCTAAGGCGGGAGCCACATCCCACCAGCCCTTTGGGCGTGAGTGGTTTAGAGAGCTATCTCTGTTCTCAACCCCCCTTCTTCCCCTTCGGGGAGGGGTTTACCCCTCCCCCTACCCCCTCCCCCTGGGCCTGGAGAGGGCGTTCCGCGGGTCGTTGGAGGGGTCTTTTTCGACTCCTGGGAGGGCTAAAAAAACGACACCCCTCACGAGGATTCTGGCCCCGACGGGGGGGGAGAACCCCCCCCCCTATCTTTGATCGATCGCCCGAAAGTAGGCCCCAAGATACCTCCCAGACTCCTCCCAAAGAGCCCTAAGAGGCCCCAAGAGGCTTCCAAGAGGCCCCCAAGAGGCCACCAAGAGGCTCCCAAGAGGCCCCAAGAGGCTCCCCCGAGGCACCCAAGACGCTCCTGGAAGCCCCTGGGGCCGCCGAGAGGCCCCCAAGACGCCCCAAACGGCCTCCAAGAGGCTCCCAAGAGGCCTGAAGAGGCTCCCCCAAGGCACCCAAAACGCTCCTAGAAGCCCCTGGGGCCGCCAAGAGGCCCCCAAGACGCCCCAAGAACGACTCACACCAGGACGAGGCGCCCGAACGACTCACACCACGAGGAGCCCGAACGACTCACACCACGACGAGGGCCCCGAACGACTCACACCACGAGGAGCCCGAACGAGTCACACCAGGAGGAGGGGCCCGAACGACTCACACCAGGACGAGGGGCCCGAACAACTCACACCACGAGAAGCCCGAACGACTCACACCAGGACGAAGAGCCCGAACGACTCACACCACGAAGAGCCCGAACGACTCACACCAGGAAGAAGGGCCCGAACGACTCACACCAGGACGAGAAACCCCAAACGACCCAAACCACGAGGAGCGCTTTCTCTCCCTCCTCCTCCACCTCGTTTTTCTCCCGTTCCCACCACAAGGAGGATGTACAAGGAGGCGGGAGGAAAGAGGAACAGGGGAGATATGCGGGGGCAGGCGGAAGCACGCCTGAAAAACACGACTGTCGGCAGGCTTCGCAAGAGTTGCTGTTTTGAGATGGGCTGGTGGGGATACGCGAAGCGTGAAGAATTTCGAAAAGAAACCGCCCTCAATCCGCGAAGCTCTTGCCAGTCTAACAAACGAACGCACGCAACGCTAAAACGAGAGCCGCATTTAAAAAACGACCCGTCCTCAATCCGTGAAGCTCTGGCAAATGTTCACAAACAGTGCGCGCCGCGCAAAAGCGAGAACCACATTTTGAAAACGGCCCGCCCTCAATCCGCGAAGCTCTTGCAACTGGCTACAGCGAGTGTGCGCCGCGCTAACGCGAGAGCACATCTTGAAAACGACCCGCCCTCCATCTGCGAAGCTGTTGCCAATGTTTGAGCTTCGCAGTCAAAAATGTTGAGGGCATCTCAAGCGAAACGCCCGGCCCACCCTAAGTCTTTTCCTTGGATATTCATAATCCCTGCAAGATGTTCCGTTGATGTCTCATGGTCAGTGGGTTTCGCCGATGACATTGGGGAAGAAAGGATACTGCCGTCAAGCGTGCGATAGGGTAACACTGAAGGAAGGAGGCCGATCCACCAGCCGACGCACGCGCGCGCGCCGCAGGCTCGCTCCTTTTCCGCTTCCCTAGAGCCAAAGATGCAGCTGCAGGTAAAACGTTCAAGTCAAGAAGAGAAGCAGACAGCGCGGCAGACAGCGCAGACAAGGCTAGAGAGCAGGACGGGCAGCAGTCTGGTGGCGCGGAACTCCCCCCGCAGCGGGATGCGTAGAATCGCCCCGACCCCCAACCCACCTGGCCTGCACATATGCACAGCCACCGGAGCGAACCCCAAAAGCATTTCACCGCTCGTCGGTGGTTGCCAGGGGGCGGAAGACCGAAGTGACCCGACGCACAGAGCTAATATTTCCCAGCTCAGGCCACAGTGCCCGTGCATTCCTGGTGCACCCGCTTCATGAACTATGGACCGGCATCGACAAAGTCGCACTGGCCCTTCTTGTGCTGCATTAGTTCTGCCAATCATTCCTCCGATCTCGAGAATCATCCCAAGTGTCTCTGTTGCGCCAGTTCCACTGCTGCTGATCTCTTGAATAACTGTCATATATGTCTCCTATTCTGCTTGAACTCCAGCTATCTAGCTGATCCTCGCCCCGGCCTTTGCTCGGGCGGCCTCGCCTTCGGCGCAGGTGGCGGCGGAGGCTCTGGCAAGGTGCTCGGCGTCCAAGAATCACGTTTGAACTTGTCGTTGTGCTCGTTCAAACTAAACAATTCCCAACTCTTGGCATGGCCGATGACATTCTGGTGGCGAGTCATATGTACTTAGTATCCCTGTACTTTTCCATTATCATTCTTGTCCTCGTGGCCCAGCGTCGCGCCCCAGCCGCCATCGCTCGCGCGGCCGCCCGTTTCTACGACGGGCTCATCTGCCCACGACCGGACCCGATCAAGGTCGATCCAGCCGGCGCAACTGCCCGACGCGGCTGGGCCGGCGGGCACGAGGATATAAGGAGCGGCCCTATAGGATTGCCTCTCCTCCCGATATCTCGGTCTCGATGCTGAACGAGAATGCCGCTGGGTTCTCGGCCCCGAAGTGGCAGTGGCGCTCGGGGCGCTTGCTTCAGCTATCATGATTGCGGCATCTGCTGGAGAGTCAGCTGGGGCAGTCTCTGTGGGGGAGTCGGCTGGGTCGCTGTCCTCCTATTTCTTCTTGAGGCAATCGGCAAGACCAATGGCATTGTCTGCGCTGAAGAATCCAAAACAGCTGTTTGCTACACAAACCCCGGCATTAAATGGGGATTCTGTAGACGCGAGCATGAAAACAAAAGCATCTTGAATGCTCCTGCAATTTTGCCTGACGGTCTCTGATACTTCATTTCGCAACCCTAATGATTCTATTGTGGACCTAATTCGGCAATCCGAGACATATGCACCACGCATTGCTTCGAGAGCGACATCTGCATAGTTTGCGTCGCGCTGTACTTCGCATCCCGGAAATGTAGCACTGAGTCCCGCAGACATGAACAAGAATATGACTTCTCGCACAGCCAACAGCATCAGCCCCCATCACCCATGAGTGGGGATTCGGTCACATGGTCGAGCCCATATTATATTCGCAAGCTCGGACGAGTCATACGGCACATCATGAATAACGTCAACACCCAATGGCGTCGAGACCGGGGATGTTGACAAATATTCAAGGGTGAATTGTGACGCGATGTTGATAACTCCTGGCCGGTCATATGCGTCAACATTGTCTTTGCAATGGACATGCAACCAGAACAGAAATCAAATCAAGCCGAAATGGCAACGTTCGCGTCGGGATAGTCAGCTGGTGTCGCTGGGTAATGTTGTGACTGCAGACGCCGTTCGACAATTCAGCATTTTCTCTTCGCGGGATAATGCTGCGTCATCAGTACGGCTGAGCCGTTGATGGAATTCAGCAATCACCCGGAAATCTGCGTCTCCCACTTTATTCGATGTGGACATGTTGCTGGCTTCGGTCAAGTTGTCCGTTAACACTTGGACCGATGGAAGGATTACTCCTCTATCCACCAGTTCTCGTCCCCATTGGTCCCAACCTCTGTCTGGGCGAATTTGCTCAGCACTAACGTGAGTCCAAACGAAAACAGCAGAGGCAGAACATCTTAACGGACGAGCGTATTGGTCCAAGTCAGGCGTCCAAATCAACGGCCACCATTGGGCAGCGGTTTGGGCATCTCCCCCATGCTTGTACTTCAGCCGTTCAACGAATCGGACCTGAGTGGTTACATAAATTGGAAGTATGGCTCATGACGCGCCGGCGGCTGTGCCGCGGCGCT